ATCGGACAGTACCTATAATGTCCGGATAGTTACACAAAGCTTTATTTATTTAAATTAATTATATTAATCTCAAATGCTTTTTTTCCTCTTAAAGATCAATTTGAATTAGTTTTCTTTTGTCATTAAACATCTATTTATATCATTATTTTCCGTCAGCATACTAATTTTCTAATTGTGGTCGGACACTGGGACAATTACGTCTCAGTGTCCGACTGGCTTGTCCGACCACTGGTACATTGATGCATTCTATTATTTATTTAAATATTTTAATTAATAATTGTTATAAGTGGGTTCAAATAATTTTTCCTTGCTTAAGGGAGTCTTGAGTTTTCAAATGAATACAAATATTTATATTAAAAACCTTTGTGATATTATAAATTGCATTATTTATGAGAACATAACGCTTAAACGTCCGGCTACTGAGACATTTACCTTAATATGAACTCAACTAAAATTTTAAAATAACGTATCAATATAATAAAATATAACGGTGATAAACTAAACACTGTAAAAGTGACAACGAGAGACTAAATCAAACCAGACTTCGATATCTCAAATTATTAAATATTTCTTTTTCGACATGATAATTTTGGTCAATATGCTTTACTCACATCCAACAAGATGATATGATGTAATCGTCAAATAATAAATCAAATAAATAACTAATTCGTCGTTTGATGGCGAGTATCACGTTAGTCCAAAATAATCCAGTCAAGAAATAAAAATCGAGTGAAAAGCGTTAAGATAAAAACTGAATAAAATGAGTATAAATGTCTAGTTTGAATTTAGTCTCATATTATTGACGAATCCCAAGGGTGATTGAGATTTCTTCATTACACTATACGTATTCGAAAGCAACACGAACTATTCGAAATCACGCAACTTACGAAAGAGCTTTCGTTTCAACAGATGCATTAAAAATAGATAAATAATACAAGTATTGTAAAATTCGTAAAAAAAACAATTTTAAAAAGTCAGAAATATAAAGTATGTTTCGAAACGATTACGCGAACTGGCAAAATTATTGCAGTAAATGTGAGGATTGATCTCAGTGAATTAGCGCCAACATTGAAAATTCGCAATTCCGTTGCTGGATGACCGTACTGAAATACGTCATTCTCGCCTTCGTAAGTTCTCAGTTAAGATCGATCACAAAAACGTTTTCTCCTCGGTGACACTGGCGGATGTGCCTGTAAACGTGACCGCGTTGCTTCATCTTGGCGGAGCAGTAAGGGCACTGGACTCTCGGCTCCTGACCGCATTCGAATTTCGTGTGCCTCTTCAGATGCCACGCATGTATATAGCTCTTCGAACATCGCGAGCACGTATGCCTCTCAATGTCGTCCTGCACGTGTCCGCCGCGGCGCCTCCTCGTTGAGTTGAGTGGCTTCTCTTCCTCGTAGCTAAAGTTTTGGGACTCCTCCATCACCACCTCGCACATACTCTGCAGACACATGGTCTCCAGCTTGATCATCTTCGCGTCTAAAAAAAAATCGACAGGACGCGGAGTTAGCTAGATGATCAAGATACGCTGGTTCCGAGCGTGAAGGAGAAAGAGATAAAAATGAGAAGATCGTGGAGACGCCTGCGAGTGTTACCGCGAATTATTCCCGTCACCTGACCCCGAGGAGTTCAAGCTCGCGCAAAGATCTCCATTTACCTGTTCGGCTTGTTCGTCAACAAACCACGAAATGCGTCCAGATTGTTCTGAGGAGCTATCAATGCAAGCGTTTGATATACAAAGTGAATGGAAATGAAACGACTTTCTCGAAAACCAGTAGAATGTCGTGGAAATGCTTTATTCCATTAAGCACAATTAACAAAACGACAATTACAATTACATGTAATATCGGTTCACCAACAAGAGTGTCGATAGATCGAATATGCCGAAAGAGATAAAACCAAAAATAATAAAACAAGATTGTCAGATTATACGTCGACGTTGCTAACGTGTGTCACCAAAGGAAGAGGAACGTTTCGTTAGAGGGGTGAAGGTATACTGGATGAAGCCTCATCAGGGCGAGTCGATGATATAGATGCGCTGACCGGAGTGCTTCCTGCGTATATGCTGGCTCACGTGGCCGCGTTGCTTGCTGCGAGTGCCGCAATAAGGGCACTTGAACCTCGGGGTCAGACCACACTCATAGCGCAAGTGTCGCCTGAGACTCTTGATCACGGTGTAACCGTTACCGCACTTCGGGCACACGTGATTAAGACGACCGCTTCCTCGTCGTCGAATTGGTGACACCGTGATGCTCTGACTTGCGTCGGGCTTCGTTGAATCATATAGACCGACCCCGTAACTTCCGTACAGAAGAACTGAAAGCAAACAATGGAACGATTAGAAAGAGACCAATAATCGCAGATAATCATTGACGAACTATCGACAGTTCAAGGAAAGATCATTATATAATTATTGAGCACATATGTGCGACGTCTGTTTTAAAAAGCGAGTGTCTGGTGCAATGTGTATTTATAATGCGTTTAAACTGATCGAATTGAGACTATACTGAAAGCTGATATGCAAAAAATGTCCTAAAGTGGAGTACATACATATTTTAATGAAGATTTTTATTTCTTCTTAGAATCGTCACGCAATCAACTGTTTGTTTTCAATAATATATTATTATTATCTACCAATTCTTTTATTGCTTTTTGATATAAAAGAAACATCGATACTTGCATTAAAGTGAATTTTACGATTTCATCTCTCGTATGTCATTAAAATATGTGTGTAATAACGGCTTGTACAAACAAAAGATAATATCGTGCGTGAATATAATACATAAACTATAAACGATATCACTCAGTTTTAATCTAGCATCATTAGTCGATATGTAGATCATCATGAACTTTTACGATGTCGTGTGACGCATTTAACATAAGTTATATACGAAGTATTATAAAGATAAACATCGAGTTTCTCAAAGAAGCTTGAGTTGGGCTCGATATGGGTGAATTTTTATTAGGAAATTTCTATGACCTCGCATATTATATATTCGTACCTGATAACGTAGTTAATATAAGCAGATGTTCTCGTAACGTTGGCAATCTGTCTCTGAAAGAGAAACTTTGGAAAGATGAGCACGCAACTAGCGACGAGTGAAAGATAAGAGCACCATCAGAATTGTCAAGACGGGAAGTAATGTGTAGGTAACATTTATTATGTTTGAAATCATTATAATACACAACACTGCTCTCATGGTCAAGACGGAAGATCCACGTGATGTTCGCACGTTTCGTTAGGATTTGAGATCGACGACCCAGACTCTTTCGGAAGGATGCTTTTTTCTGATGTGACTATAGATCTGCGATGTCTGCTTGCTGCGCAATTCGCAGTAAGGACACTTGAACCTGGGCTCGTGGCCGCATTCGTATCTGAAGTGGCGATTGCGATTACTCTTCAGGGTGAAACCGTGCAGGCACTTAGGACAATAGTAGAGAGCCTTCTGTGACTGAGGGGGCAAACGTTCCTCAGGACCTACGAAGTTCATGAAGCAGTCCATCATGAGAAGATCTGAAAGCAAAAACCGAATTGTGAGACTTGACCCGGATTGCTATGTGTGGTAGCTTCTGACATCGGGCACATCGACAAGTTTTATCTACATGTTTATCATTAAACGAACAACAATTTTTTCCTTTGAAAAACTGAAAGAGTAAATAAGACAGTCGATCCGCGATTGAAGGGAAAGTCAAGTTGAAAATACTTGTCATTGGCCCTGGTGAAGAGTGGCTCGTTAGATATTAAAGTGCAAGGATCATTGACGCAAAGCACATAAATGCAGATAAAAAGTTACGTAAATTACTGCCCAATGATATTAGTCTCGTGGCACGTGGGTGGAATAATCGGATACGTTGGTAGAAAACTTGATGTCAAGTATGTTCCTCGCAGTCACGAAAGGTAGGGATAGGCATCGTTAGTTTCGGCCGCAAACAAACACCACACGCGTGTAGATCGTCTACCGTGCAGCTGTAACAGGTTCGTCGAATGAGGTCCTATGTCCCGGAACGTTTTAACTGAAGTAACATGCCCGATTTATGAAGGGGAGTCTGAAGGGGTTCGGGACATCAGGGGGGAAAATACTGAAGCACATTTGGCAAGTAGGGTGTCCGAACATCAATTTATTTTTATATTACATTTCCACAGCGACGATATACGATCATAAAACGTACCGCGGGAAAATCGCTATTGATATACCGACGGTAAAAACATGTTGCGTTCCTAATCGGCCAAGAATCGTAGGGTATCTTGACGTACGTCGTACGAAGCTCGAACACGGGGCTCATAGCCCGAGGATTGTTTTGCGTCCATCAAAATACCCCATGCGGACGAGATCCTTTGTTCGCGAAAACTTGCTCGACATCCTAAAGTACTTAATCCGAAGACGGAATATATGAAGATAAAAACAAAAATGAAATATATAAACAGTAACAAGTTAAACTAGTCTGCTAACTTGTAAGTGAATAACACAAGTAAACAGAGAAACGCCAAATACGAGGCTGGATCTTGATGTCTAATAGTATTTCTACATAAATTTTAAATACATTTTCCAGTTCTATAAAAACTGTACGCCAATTACTGTTGGACTTGAAAACGCAATCATAAACCGAAGCTGGAATAGTTATTATCACAAATTAAATGAAATATAGGGTAAAATGGTTCAATTTCGAACGTGGTACAATTTTGAACGAAATAAAATAATCCGCAATAATTAAGAAACAAAGGTTAAACGGTCGAGTTTGGATCTTTAGTGCTGAAACAACTCCGTGTGAATTTATATATCACAAATCTAATCCTTCAAATTGCGTGCCGAATTTATTTTCAGGCTCGAAACGCAATCCTAACAGAAGTAGAATAGTAGTATCACAAATTAAATTGACAAGCAATTTAATAATATTAATGCTCACAAGCATCTCTTTATAATAATATTTAAACAACTTAAAATCTGTAATTAATTTAGAGATCCAAGCTTGACCTTCGTTTCTTAATCGTGTGTGTTCACATCGCGGTCTAATATGATACTTTAATATTGTAAAATAATCCAATTTTCGAGGTTCAAGTTTAATAACTCTGATCTTATTGGAGGATATTGAAGAGTACTAAACAGGAAAAAAATCAAACTTGAGCTTCAAAAATTGGATTCAAATTTTATTTCATTCAGAATTGTACCATGTTCGAAACTGTACCACCTTATCTTATGTATGATAACGGAACGAATGACGAACACTCGTTTCTACGCGCGACGGCGGATAACGTGATTAACGTAGCTTCATCGCGTATGTAGTTAGTCAAATACACTTATATCGCTACACGAATAATTATATCACAGCAACAAAAACAGTCGGTCACTAACGTGTTTCGTGTCTCTAAAAGACCCTTCCATCCGCGCGGATGCGATACGATTGCAAAAAACGAAAGCAGGCACGTGCCGCGATAATCAAATCGCGAAAGAACCGAACGTGTGACAAACTGGTGTTTCCGCGATACATGAAGAGCAATACTTCCATCTACTTTCGCGACGTTGATAGGTGAAATATATTCTATATTATCGATTGCTATTAGTGTTTCTTGTGTACGATGCGTCTTCATGTAAGAACAAAGTCACGGCAGCGCGTGATTCTATATCGTGATCAAACAGAAGGTAACTACGTTTGTTCCGACCGCTTAAAACCCTGTTCTCTCAGACTTTCTGCTCCCGTTAGTAACAATTCAGTCTTGATGACGAGCATCCGTGTTCGTTTAGCGCGTCGCTCGTCGTCTATAACAATTCCGATTTGTCAATTGTAAAATCGAACAAATTTTTTACTAATAATACGAACCAGTCGCGACTCGGCGCTCATACCTAGTCTGATCATACCTAGTACATTTAGACGCATGCAAATGTTTCCTCGTGTCCCATCATTAACCTCACAACCTGAATGTTTATAGGTATACATCTACATTTTAAAAAACATACGACTCTTTTAAAGCCCCTAATAATCGAAAGATTGCTTATTGGATAGCGCGCGAATGCCGAAACTCGGAATGTGCTTGCGCTGAAGACCTTTTTCTCGCGTACTTTGAAAGCCTCACATGACTCACATCGCCGAGGCTGAACTGATAGCGTTTCAGAAATGTCATAATTTCAAGTAGCACATCGAGAAATTCCGCGCGCCGGTTCATTAACTGCTAAGCATGGAGATATTTCGTAATGTGTAAAGACGGAGAGAATATCTGACGATAATACTGAGTCCCACTATTTCAGCCGCTACAAATTTTACACGGTTCGCCATTTCGCGTTTCATCAACAGCAGACCCCACGACGAAGTCATATGGCTAAGCAATTGCTAACGAACATCCGCGCTTCTGCCCTCGATTATTGCATCAGGTATTGTAATTGATATTTACACGATATCCAGATTAAATATCATCCGACCAATGACGTAGGAACCGCACCGCGCTCGCGAAACTCTTAATAGCTAAGGACGTTCATAAGACATCTTGTCGTGTAAAATCGTGAGCAATAAATAATTCACATGTCTGGTCTATTTCAACGAATGTTGATACATCGGATTGGACACACGATCATACTAGACGCTTGAATGATTGCGCGAGAAATGTGATCATATAAGACCTGTCCGATAAAAATTTTTCAAATTTCCCAAACGATTCGTTCTCTTCACACGAGTGCGGTTCCCTGCTCGTTTCAAATCGAGAAAATCACTGTCGTCATGCGAGATTGCAATGTCTGCGGTCGTCCTTTTCCTTTATTTGTCCTCGTATTTGAGGTGCACTACGTAGACCTTCTGACCGGGATGCCTGGTCCTAATGTGAGACATCACGTTGGACGTCTGCTTGCTGCGGAACTCGCAATAAGGGCACTGGAAGCGCGGCGCCTGACCGCACTCGTACTTGTAGTGCCTGGTCATATTGCCCTTGACAGTGAAGCAGCGGCCGCACTTGGGACAACCGAAAGGTTTGTTGTCGGTGAACGTGACCTTCGAATGATAGGTATTTCTCACGCGACCATGAGAGAAGTAATTCGTCATCGACCTCGACATGGACGAGCAGTCCTGGCCAAAATCCCTATTGCTGCTATCGGTCTCGAAGCCCTTGCAGGATTGCAACACGAAGTTCAGATCCAGCTGCGGGGTTGTCGCGTAAAAACCTGAAACTTCAAAGTCGGTCGATTAATAAGATGTAATAACTCACCGCGTTTGAGAGACGAATGGCGGAAAGATTCGAGGGAAAGTCGGAGTCTCTTTAATGTAGGAGCATTGGAAAGTTTGCCGGGATAATATTCATGCTTTGTTATTAGTGGGAATAATAATTAATAGAAGAAATAATTGAAAAAGAAATAATAAAGAAAGAAAGAAATAATAAAGAAAATACCTTTGAAAATTGCGGGGCATCTTCGTGACGAACCTATATTCAGCAACGTTTCCGTCGCGCGGGCTACGGTGACGCAGAAGCACGTGTTATTTTACGAAAATGCTGTCTAAAGTTGGAATATAAAATCGCTACGTGTGATTCTTATTGCTTACGAGAATCTACGTAACTAGGAATCTATTAGAAAAATCGAAACGCCGGATTGTGCAGTCTTCGGGTGATGAGAGATCCGTGCTGCTAATAGCAGGTCGTATACTTGAAAAAGGTACGTGAACAAGAATGGCATTAATGTCTAGCCGCTTTATTAAAATCTATGCATTTCAGCGGTAGACATAAATCTGCGATAAAACTTTATTTTACAAAACAACGTACAAGCGAATTATTATCCTCTTATTAAGTAGAAGCAACAATTTTTTCAGATCATAAAATACGACGTCAACTATCCCAAGGTTAGAATCTTCTCCAGTAATTGGCTTTGGTCGTCGCTTGGCAAAGTCTGTGTAATATAAAACAATTTCTCAATGCGCATGATACCAGCCATTCGCAAACATCTTTCTTAATCAGAATTAAAATTTTTCTTAATCAGAATTAAAATGATTAAGAAAAATTCAAGCCTAATTGATTCAAATAAGAAAAATTTACGTTAACAATATTTAACAAATTTTGACAATATCTGACGATTTTAACAATGTTCTCATATGTGGAAGAATGTTATTCTCAGATTACTTTCCTCGTTAAATCACAGCCTTCTTATTAATATTTCTTTCACAACTTAAATTTTTGTTACTGAATTAAATAATACATCTGATTAATTGAATTAAATAGATAATTCCGAAACGAATTTATATATAAAATTACGATCAATTTTTTTTACGGAAAAGAAAAATATGGCGGTAACAAGCGAGATTGAGAAACATTTGTCTTCAATGATGTGTGAAGATCGCGATAGAAAGCGAGTCCAATGGAAAGACGAAATTCACTCCAGTAGCTCAGGTATGGAATTAGAGACACTCGCGATCTTCTTGTTGTGCTCAGAGCTTCATATCGAAGATAAAGACTTCTTCTTCCGGATGTTTCTTTCTGATGTGGGCATAAACTGGCGACGTTTGCTTGCTGCGGAGTCCGCAATAGGGGCACTGAAACCTCGGCTCGTGTCCACACTCGTAGTTTACGTGGCGGTCCTTGTTCCTCTTCAAGGTGAAACCACGACCGCATTTTTGGCACTGGAACGGTTTCATGTTGTCGGTGCTGACCTTGCGCGTACGTATCCTTGTTTTCCTGCAGGTCTCAGAATTGAGCTTGCTGTCCGTTCCCGGTTGATACTTGCAGATCATGTTCGGTCCGAACGGCGACACCACGTGGAGCCCTGAAACACGGAGACGAAGATGCTGAAGGACATGCTCGAGTGCGTGCGAGAAAGAAAAGCTTTTACGATGATCACCGGCCGTTCGGCTTAGGCTGCATCATCGAATTCCCCAGCAAGCAACGCATAATGAAAATAATTAAATCTGAAAGACACTCCTCGCAACGTGACTTTGCACGTACTCAGCATTTCCGTCTTCGTCTATACGCGTCGTAAATAAATCGTGTATACAAACTACGTGTCTAGCACAATATTAGCATTACGAAAGGGCCAACGTGACGACTGTCGATCGACATATCCTAGTCTTGGAAAAAATATCAATATATATCATTAGTATCATTTTATTTGTTAATGTAAGTGCATCCATACCTGCGGAGAAGCAACGACGAATTGATTAAATCCGTAAGATTAATTGAATCTAATAAACATACATTCACATTTCATGATAAAACGAAAACAAAATGATCAGACGTCGACAATTATAGGACGCAATAGGATTCTTTACAAATTAGCCACTCAATTCAAGATCCAGCCGTTTAATTTATTGAACATAATAAATGTGATATACGAGGACAAACGCATACTTAATCAAAGCCGATATATAGTGTTGAACTTCCGATCGAAATACAGCGGCGATAGATGCGGGTGATGTACGCGTAGATGACGTAGAATATGTCCTTTCTGGTAATTTTTTATTGGGCAATACGTGCACTCAAATCTCGGCGGTTGTTTACACTGATAACGTAGATGCGAAAGCATCGATTTCTTCCACTTGTACAGATTGCCGCAACTGGGACACTCGTATAGACCATTTCGCATATTGATATCGTCTGGATCCAAATAAACTTCTTCATGGTTTCTCCTCTGGTTGGAGAAACTATCTGAAACCCATGAAAAAGCGGGAGCGTTTTAGTAATGAGTCGATTCTCGATTTTCCTCATAATGGATGTGTCCTGCAAAATGATGTTTAGCGCACTCTTTCACCATTTTTTTATAAATCGTGAAAACCGCATGGTTAGGACCGTTCGTTAAATATTGTAGTTACAACAATCGGAAACGTCGACTTCATTGTCCACATCAGAAATAAACGAAGAAAGAAAATGCGAGAAAAGAAAAAAATGTCATTCAAATAATAATTGTCTTTATTGACGAACGCAAGATCGCAAGAATGAATGTTTTGTTACATTCTCTAAGAAAAAGAACTGTCATATAAAATATTTAATGCAATCACGGCTAATATCACAAATCTTTAATTTAAAAATATTCAAATTCGTTATTTCAAGTCAAAATTTGGAGATAGGAGGCAGTAACTATATTCATGTATGACTGTAAGTTTTCTTATACATTTACTGATAACACGTAGATTAGTTTCGTCGGAAAACGAAAAGTGATTTATCAAATACAATTCTTTAGTTTCTGTTGATATTGACCTGTTTAAAAGTGAAGAAACACTAAAGATAATGAAGGATTTCATGAAAATAAGTCTACCACGATTGTTTGATTAACGAAGAACTTTTGTAATAGAAGACAATATTCATTATAGTTGATGTAAAAATTGAAATAATTCTTTTAGATATAACTGTTTAGTGATCCTCGAAACGCATCTGACATCTAACAAGAAAATTTGTTTTTCTAAAAAACTGGAAAATAAACTTTCGTATGATATCGAATGCGTTTCAGGAATTACTGGAAAAATGTTCTAAACATTTTGACATCGACTATTCGATCATTCTTCTAAAGCAACCGTTTGAGTTTAGGAATATATTAATATGTTATTAATAGATACTGAAAACTGTATTTTAATTTAAATATAAATATATATAAGACATACAACACGTTGTACATTTATAATATAAATACTTTGAGAAGCTATTTTCTTAAATTTTTATTTTTTAATTCTTGAAAAAGTTTCTTGAAAAGGATCTTGAAATAAACTACCTTATAAAGTATTCTAAATAATCAAGCATATAATTAAGCAATATATCTGAGCTCTTGAGACAGTCATGATTCTCATATCACATTATATTCTATAACGTAATTTCCGTATTACTGTACACATTATTTAAAATTTTTAGTATACATATTTTTCATTGACATATACATTACGGAAATTATGTTACGAAATACAGGATACGGAGATTTTCTCGCATCCTGTACAGGGATCGTAAATTTAAAAAATATTAAAAAATGGAAACATATAAATATAAATTCTCTTTTTGAATATATCAATTTAGATTAAATATCTTTCATAATTAAATAAACATAACAGACTCTAATTTTTTAAAGACAGAATCGCTCTATGACCGATTTGTTTCAGTCACTTCGGGGTTCCTGCCAACAAAGCCTCGAGTTGGTCACAATATCGATGCAGTAAAGTTCACGATCCGGATGAAACGTGCGTATGTGCGTCCACACGTGCGTACGCTGTCGCAAGTGGTGCTTGCAGTACGGGCATTCAAATCGCTGCGGTATGCCGCACTCGTATCTGTAATGCCGCATCATGTGACTACGGTGTTTATAGCTGCGATGACATTTCGGACATTGATGGCGTGGTAGAACGTTCTGGGTGTAGTCGATGTTAAGAGAGCGTTGCAGAGTCCACTTCAGGTACGGATCTGGAAAAAGAGAATTCACAGCCGATTAGTGAGGAAAAACGCATCAACATGTGGCGAGTTCCGCGCGCGAACTTCTTCGTACTTGTCTTGACTCTGAGGATAATTCATCGGTCGCTGAAAGTTGCGGGCGCTCTCGTTCGAGCTTTGCGACATTTCCCATGAATGCGTTACACCTCGAGTACATGTGAAGAACTCTCCCCCTGCAATCTTGCTGTGCTATCGAAGATATCGTCAAGGAATCTGTACCGTTGGGAAAGTATAACGTTTATAGAATCGCCACAGTAATAGTAAAATACAATCAACACGACAGTATAAATAAGAATATAAAAAAAAGTCAGAAGATAGAGGGAACATTTGGCAGGATAATTGCATTTCTCGAGGCAAAAATACTTCTGTTACTTGTCTGTAAATAATGTTGCACATTTTATAAATCTAACGATGCATAATTAAAACTATGTACAATATTCATCGGTTTCAGCATTAAATGATCTTATTTATTACCGATAAATTGTAAATACTTATAATTTTAATATCTCTCGAAGAAAGTTACAAGTTTCACATACTTGTCACGTAAGGTAATATATATCAAAATCAACCTATAATAAATAAAGTTATAATAAAAATAATCAATTAGCCATTAAAATTAATATCCATTAATATCAATAAATATTAATATAAATAAATATAAACACAAATAAAGAGGAGAAATACAAGAAGGAACTTGTAATTCTAATTGTAACTCGTTAATTCTATAAGTTACAATTAGATTACTTTTTTCCAGTAACTAACATAATTTCATTCCTTTCTTTCCATCTATAACTGTAACTTAACTTAGTTATATTTCTTTGGTAACTAATCACTAATTTAATAGTTACTTTTATAGTTACTTTATATGCTTCAAACTTATTCGTCAACACATGGTCTGACCAAAATAAAATATTTAATGTAAACAATTAGTAATTATTTCTTGTGATTGGAATATATCTTCTGGAATATATCTACCATAGTTTTTGAGAAATCTTAATGCATTATTTAAAATGGGACACCCTATATAATATTTTATTGTAAACATAACAAAACTAAATAATATAATCAATTTATTATTAATATAATGTATAATTGAATGTTTAGTATAAATAAAATAATTTAGTAATGCTAGAGAGATGTGTAAAAACTGTTGTATTTCAAATAGCAATACATAAAATTACGAAAAATTAATTAAAAAAATAATTGTAAAGTAACGATATGTTACTTTTTAAGTAACATATTACTTTTCAGAATCAATAACTTGTACCGGTAACTAGTTACTTTTTGAAAGAAAAAAAACTGTAACTCTGTAACTAATTATTTTTACAAAGTAACTTTCCCAATCGTGAAGAAATGTTATTTTCGGTCCGAGTAGATCTTGGTGCTTAGTAATATTCATATGTGACTATACAAATATAATTATTAGTTCTATAGACTGTGCGCCGATTTAGTTTGTCGGACTTGAAGCACACAATCATAAACTAAAATAATCTCACAATTAAATTAACTGATAATTAACCGATTTAATACCATTAGCATCTGAAAAGTCTGTATG